GTATTCATTCTTTGTTGTCACTCTTTTACCCTAGTTTTGTGAATTGAGTGTCAATTTTCAATTTTTTGTATTTATGTGTGGATGCACTCTTTTCTATCACATTATCACAATAACTTATTGAATTGAGTACTAATTTTCATAGTTTATGTGTTAAGGGTGGATTCACTTTGTGGTGTAATACAATTAGGTTAGCTTTGTGGTTTGAGCACCAATCTTCATTGTTAGGCGTTATATGTTCATTCACTCTTTGTTGTGACACTATTAGGCTAGATTTGAGAATTGAGTTCCAAGCTTTAATTTTTGGGAGTTATGTGTGGATTCACTCTTTGTTGTTACACTTTAAGGCTACCACATTGCAATCAAACACAAACAATAGAGAGACACTATAAAGTAAAAAATTGATTTTATTGGTTGTCCATTACAGACACTGTTTTGTGTTCATATAGAGACACTATAGAGTGACAATTGATTTCATGGCTTGACCACTACATAGTACAACAAACATTAGATTGTGTTATAGAGAGACAAAATAGAGTGACAAACTGATTTCATGGCTTGGTCACTATAATTACAAGCAAACATTGTACCACCCTTTGTCATTATATTATACTAGTTTTTTTTTTTTTGTGTTTTGTGTTTTGTGTAGATTCACTTGTTTGTTTTCATATTATTATACAAGTAGTATAACTTTTCCTAAGACATGGCAAAAAAAAGGTTATCTTCTAAAAATAATATGAACTCAAGCATAGGGAACCAGTGACAGCACAAGGCGTTGAAACATCTCAACAGAAGGGTTTGTAAAACATTAATCAAAGTGAATGAACCANGTTTTCATATTATTATACAAGTAGTATAACTTTTCCTAAGACATGGCAAAAAAAATGTATCTTCTAAAAATAATATGAACTCAAGCATAGGGAACCAGTGACAGCACAAGACGTTGAAACATCTCAACAGAAGGGTTTGTAAAACATTAATCAAAGTGAATGAACCATGAATGTGGATAAATATGACGCACAATATAGAACAAAAAGTTCCAGTGAGTGGTAGTTGAAGAAAATATACTCCAATTACAACCTGTTTCCAAAAAAAATGTCTTTATGCATAAGATAACATCAATTTGATTCAATTACAACTTCGAACAATTGTATATGATTGACGAAGGAAGATTTTGTTGTTGGTTCGAAAAAGAAATTCTATAGCTTAAGAACAAACAACAACAACAAAAAAAAGTAATTAAATGAAAATTTCTCACCTGATAATGAAGAAACAACAATGGCTGAACAACACACAACATCTCTAGTTCGCAAAATGTCAATGACTAAATAATATGAAACTCGGTTGTTAATGACAGAATTTTTGAAAAAACCTAGTTTCTGGTTCGAAAAAAAATAAATAATGGCCGAATAAAACACAATTCTGGCTTCTATTTCGCAAAATGTCAATAGTTGAATAATATGAAGTTGGACTGTTAATGACAGAATTTTTGAGAAATAAGTTTCAAAATTCAAACGGTTTTTGGAATCACAAAAGTTTGAAAATCTCTTATATAATAATTACATATTTGAAGAAAAGGAAATTATTTATGCATGAAATAAGTTCGGGATAGTTTGGTAATACCAAAAAAAAACTGGAATGTCTACTTATTGACCGAAATTTTAGACATAGGAAGACTTAATAGATTAAAAGTCTGAGTTGTGTCCTTAAAATCAAATAAATTCTTCAAGTTGTACCCACAATTAAATTTCCTTAAAGAATAAAGACGGTCTTTGATGAGCATGCACGTTGAAGGTAATATGTACGTTGGCCTGGAGCTTTCAAAATTTCTTGTAATAAGTGTTTAAGGGAGTAAAGGAAAAATCAGTTTTTGTTCCTCTCTTTATTTTGTGGTCTGATTAATCCAAGTTTATAAGTGCGCTTGATGAAACAAGGCTGGGCAGCCCAAGGTAAAGTGGGGTTTTAGACAAAAATTTCGTATGATAGCTCATTAATATTTTGTCTATTAATATATTATATTTTTAATTATTATAAATTTTTTGTTTCTTAAAAATTACTTTTATTTATTTTTTGCAATATAAAAATATTGATCAAGTTTTTATATTCAAGTTTTGACATTAATTTTTTTAATAGTTAATTCATTCGCTCTCACTTGATCACAAATTTTTTTTTATTAATTTAAATTTTTAATAAGTAATTCAATAATAAAATATGTGAACAAATAATAATTTTAAGATAAAAAAAAATTATTCTTTTTCCATGAGTAATGTGGACGCATGAAGTACAAAACTTTGATAACAAAGACAATTAAAGCACAAATTATTTGTATTGAAAATTTATATTAAGACAAAAAATGAACTAATTTTATTGATTTTCATCATAAGAAATAATGTATATAAATTTTCTGTGTGAGTGAGTGAGTGGAATGCAACTAGAAACACACCCAACAGAGTTAGAAAAACTTAAATTAAAACTCACACAAAATAGTAATTTTGGATCTAAAAAAATTAGATATTGATTTGAACTATTAAAATTTAGGCTCTAAAAATTTTAATCATATCTAAAATACAAAAAATAAATATAAAAAAAGCATATTATACTAAAGTGGTAAATTTTATAGAGGTCCTCTAAAATTTAGGCTTAATTAAGTAGAGAATAATTTTAGACCTAACAAAATTAGATATTGAATTAAACTAATTAAATTTGGACCTTAAAATTTTCAAACATATTTAAAATTAAAAAAAATAAAAAATTAGATTCACTATACTAAAGGGATAAATATTTATGAGGCCCTCTAAAATTTGGGGCATCAAGCAAGCAATTTAGCTGCCTATGAGTTGAGTTGGCCATGGAATGAAAAAATGATTGGATAAAAGTGGAAGTGATACATTTTTTATCCTTCGAATAATGAGTCATTCATTTTCTCAATTGTGTTTGGTAGAATGAAAAAGTGCAAGAATAGAAAAAGTATAAAAATATATTTTATTATCATATATCTATATATAAAATTAATATATACATATATTAACAGATATATCTATATAATAAATTCGTAAGGTATTTGAATTTAAGGAGGTAAATTTTTCTCCCAAAATTTCACACACCCAACACATCCTTTTTCCCTCAAATTTCACAAATTTAACACACATTCCACAACACACACCTACATGCACATACACACACTCCACAACACGCATCTGCACACACATACACACACACGGGTGCATTATATACACATTCTAATATATGCACAGTTTCATAGTTCAGTGTATAGTAAATTTAGTTACAGGGTATTGCTAGTAGATAAATATCATACAATTTAACACACGTAATTAATTTTCAATTCACCTTTTTTAAGTCTAAATAACATTAGTCGAATTCAATAAATTTTTTCTAAAAGTGGCTGACTTGAACTCCCATAAAAATATCATAGAAGAATTACATTCTTATCTCTTGAAATTTGTCACTTAATCATTCAAATTCTCTGATATTTAAAATATTACTTATAGACCTCTGAAGTTTGTACGCGCGTAACACTTAGACCCTTCTCGTCAAATATCTGTTAATATATCTGTTAGTAAATTACACTCAAACTCACTAAAGTTTGTAGACATATAATACACAGATCTTTTATGGTTAAAATATTATATTTAGATAAAAAAATACTCCAATTAAAGATAGAATATCAAATATTTTAAATTTACAACTAAAATTCATGTTATATTGTATCATTTATTCAAATAAAATCAAAAATAAAAAGTCAAATTATTTTAAAAAAATTATAATTAATATACAATTATACTATTTGTTGATATAAAATTAAAAAATTAAACAAGGAATCTAAGTTATTCATAATAGAACTTGAATTTTATAACCAAAATTTATATTCTATTATGTCTTTTATTAAAATAAAAATAAAAATAAAATTTAATTTTTTCTTAAAAAATCATGTTTAATGTACAATTATACTATCTACAGTAATAAAACTAAAAAAAATCAAACATAGGGCCAAACTATAATAAAAATAATATATTCTAACATTAATTGAGGTAATCTGATAGTTTAATTTGGTCGTTAAAACGACCAAACTAAATTCCAATAGATATTATAATTATATAACAATTATGATTTTTAAGAAAAAAAATATTTTTAATTTTAATTTTATTTCAATAAATGTTCTAATAAAACAAAAATTTTAGTTGTAAAATTTAAAATATTTGATATTTGATATTTTATCTTTGATTGAAGTATTTTTGATTTAAGTATAACATTTTAAATTTAAGAGGTTTAAGTATTACACATTTACAAATTTTAAGGGATTTGTTTGTAATTTATTAACTGATATTGATGATAGAGATCAAAATGTTACGCTAGTAAAAACTTTAACAAACTATGTATAACATTTTAAATGTTAAAAAATTTGAGTGATTAAATGACAAACTTTAGAAAGTCTTATTATAATTCTCCCAAATATCATTGACAAATTTGAAAGAGCAATGTTACATGGACTTAAAAAGTAGATTTAAACGCTAGACTTGATAATCTTAATTATTAATTTTACTATAAATTTTAGTATTTATTAAAATTTATTATCTATTTAATTGGTATTATCAAATCTAATTTTTAAATTTACGTAACATTACTTAATTTGAAAAATAGGCCTTGTGGTAAAAAATATGAGGTTGACTTGGGAACCTGTTACAGCCGCCCAAGAATCAATCCAAAACCAAAGTCTTCCAAGTCCATGCAGTCTTCTACCAGTACTAGCTACCTGTACTTTTCTTCTGTACATAACCTCTACTTCTTCATCACCATTACCCTTCGGCTTCATCATCAGTCACCAGACTCACCACCATCATACACCATATCTTTCAAAGCTCATACCACCCATGTTCACCATAACTCTACACATCTCCTTNTCATCACCATTACCCTTCGGCTTCATCATCAGTCACCAGACTCACCACCATCATACACCATATCTTTCAAAGCTCATACCATCCATGTCCACCATAACTCTACACATCTCCTTATTTCTCTACCTCCTCTTCTCCACCACTACCACCACCGCCAATGCCATCGGCGACACCGCCAACTCGCCACCTTACATTCCAAGCAACTACTTTCTCCTCAACTGTGGTTCATCTTCTAGTTCTAACTATACCGACGGCTGCACCTGAGACGGAGATGCACCCCCCAAATTCTGGCTAAGCACATCTTTGGAATCTACAGCATCCGAGCAAAACCCTTCTGCCAATCAAGTCCCCTACATGGCTGCTCGTATCTTTCACTCTCAATTCACCTACACCTTCCCAGTCTCCGCCGGACCAAAATTCATTGGTCTCTATTTCTACCCAGTTAATTACTCTGACCTGGACATAGCCAACTCTTTCTTCTCTGTCACCTCCGGTGGATACACCCTCTTTAGCAACTTCAGTGCCTTTCTCAATGTCTCTGCCATGAAACCCGCAGTTGCTTCCCTAAGAAAGGAATTCATCGTCAACGTTAGGAACAACCAGAGACTGAACATAACCTTTTTGCCGTCTCCGAAATCTCACGCCTTCGTTAATGGCATTGAAGTCGTTTTAATGCCGGAAAATCTCTACATTCGCGGCAGTGATTATCAAATCCCACTAGTGAGCCAGAAGCAACAATTTTTCATTGAAAACAGCTCTGCTCTTGAGATTCTCTACCAATTAAATGTTGGCGGTAATGAGGTCTCAATAACCGATGATACCGGAATGTTTCGTTTATGGCTTTCGGACGACGATTACACCTACACAGCTCATGGGTTTCCACCTCACAGGGAAGTACCAATCCGATATACACAGGAGACACTACCTTACACTGCACCGAAGATCGTTTACACAACCACAAGGACCATGGGCAACGACAGTCAAAAGTACAAACTGACATGGAGATTTCCTGTTGATTTTGGGTTTTATTATCTTCTCAGACTCTAAGTGCATTGTTTCAGTTTCTAGTTATTAAAATTCTATTTTTATTAAATAGTTAGCATATAACAATATACTTAGTAGATTTAGATTTTACTACTAGTGATTAAAAAGTACTCTCACCCGCAAAGCCTATCTTAGACAAGAAGTCACATCATTTAGAAAATCACATAACTTTTCTAAAAAGCCATGTCACATTTAGGAGGAAATCCTCTAATGGCCAAATATTCTTTGACAAGTTTGTTAGGATTACACCATTATTTTGTAGAAAAGGCATGCATATTTGTTACCTTGGGCCAACACTCATAAGCAAGAAACCCTAGTCTTTAATATTGTTTTTCCTTAAACAATACTAATGAATAAGAACCTCTATTATAGTAGATTAACTCATATCTTCACATGGGTGAACCACTTAATTTCTTATACATTCTAACTCACTTTGCATTACATGTCTAACACACCTCATCAAGAGCTCGTTCAACTATTCTCCCTCACTCTTCTTGATTTTTACACCATCAAGTATTACTGAATTCATAGCTCGGTTAGAAGTAGAGCTCGAGCTCAACCCAGTATGAGTTTTCAAGTATATATTAGTTTCCAAATCGAGCCCAACTTTTCAGCAAAAAAATTTACTGTAGAACATAGTAATTAATCCTCATGTTGTTTTAAACATCTTTCAAAATATATTTAATCAACCATAAAGTTTAGTTCTTTAAAAAATCTATTAGCAAAGACAGAAGGAAAGAGAATGCATAGAGCCTGGAGTTATTAGTGGATAGTTTTGGGGGTGTCCACATTTCGAATAGAGTTTGCTTGGTAGTAAAATAAGAATCTTTTATAGATAAGCAACCTATTTGAGTCGAGCTGAATTTTTTGAGATACATGTTACTCAAATTCGATTTGTTTTTTAAAAGAGTTTAAAATTTTGATAAAAATTCGGTTTATTTAATGATATTAATAAGTTAAAAGTGAGGCGGACTTGAACTACACAAATCATTTAACAAGCCTAGCTAAAGCAAAACCTACGTCAAACACGTGTTGGGTTAAAGACCATAGTAGCCTAACCACTCTGTTTTTCTTTCTCCTTATATAATTTAATAACCCGAAATTATCCAGTATCCGCTCACTTTAACTCTCTTATATTTTTCGTCAATTTTTTGAATCATAAACCGTTAATTATAAATTTAAGTGGCATTCAACATATATAAATTAATCACAATCCAAAGATTTCTAAGTCCACGCAGTCTTCTACGATTACCTTTGTTCCCCTTGAGTTCTCACCACTCACTACCATCAAACACTTTCTCTATCAAACATCAAACCATGCTAACCTCCAATACTATTTGGGTCAAATCATATTTTTTATTCTTTTTCGTTAAATATAGTAACTGTTCAAAATTACCGGAATTCACTCATTTAAATAGGATTTGTATTCTCATAGTTTTTTTCAATTTCTATTAATTGTAGATCATTCTTTGTAAATTTAAAAGCGAATCACATTGATGGTGTGGTTTACGTGATTGAGTGGCTGAGTTCGAGATTCAAAAAAAGGAAAATGGACTTGAAATTCGTGAAGAACGACTATGGGGATTCATTGGGACATCCAGTTAGAGCTACTAGGCTCGTAGTGTTGAACAGTCAATCACATAGACAATAACAATCAGTGAAACTTGATAGACATGATATTTATAGTGGTTCATCGGCTCAAAAGTTTAGTTATTTCACTCTAATGGAGTATTATGCTCCTGAGAGAGTTTGTTATTATTTGAAGAAGATTGCAAGGTTTTTGTAGAAAGTAAACTCTTAGGCTTGGCTACAAAACGTGGGATTGATCCGTATTTATAGTGTTCTCCACATGATTTCTGCGTAATCATCGTAATCCTTGTGTAACGATCGTGATCGTAATACCTTTGGGGTTGTTGTGACTCATAAGGTGGGATTTTTAGCTGATAGAAGCTGTATTCTTGGGGTGAGATGTGATCTTCTAAAAAGTGTGAGATGTTGTTGTCGTAGTGTGCATGGGGGGTCACGTCGGCAATGGTTATTGACCTTGAAGACCTGTGATGAGATTTGAACTCGAAGATCTGAATTGGGATTGAGATGTCTAAGTTGAATTGCTCGAGTTCGGCATTGTCATGTGGGCCCCCTATTAGGGGGGTAAGTTCCTAATCTACTTCTAGTCTGATCTTAGATTTAACTAATTTTTAGTATCATCATACATAATACAAATGAATCTTGTAGGGACGAATCTAGAATGGGACAGTTGTCCCTACTACAATTTAAAAAATTTTTAGGATCTATTTGAAAATTTCATGCCACTACGAGTTTATTGATGGCCATTCATTTCTCATCCACATTTTAATACTTTGAGCAGTGCGATCTATCTTATATCATTCTCGTAGTGGTGTGCCAAACATTAAACTTTGACCAGAGGATTTCACACGGCAGTGCAAACTCCCTCCCTTATTGAGCACTTATGGTATGTTTCCTGGTGACCGGAACAAAGTAGTTCAACAGGAGAAAGAAGCCAGAGGGGCATCCCTTCATTTCTCTTTTCCTTTATCTTAGATTTTGATTTGATTACGGTACCAAAAAAAATAATTTTGTTATTGTACGTCTAACTTTTACCATTGTATTAGATATTTTTATAATTTTTGTGGGTTATTTTATCATTTTAATGGGTGTTTTTATAACTTTTTCGGATTATTTTACGACTAAAAAATTTATCATTTTTGCATGTGATTTAGCATTTTTGTGAGTGTTTTTATTACATTTGTAGTAATTATTTTACCAATTTTTTTATACAAAAAAATTTACGATATTTGTGGATGTTTTGTTATATTTATAGATGTTTTTATCACATTTATAATTTTTTTTTTCGCTATAGTAATGAAATCCCTTAGATTTATTAACCTCGTAAAGAGCAACCATTGGGATAGTCTCTCGAGAATGTTAGTGAGACCTAGTTTATTGACTTATTTTACCGACTTAATTCACTATAATCGTTGGGTTGATTATGAATCTTATTCAACATTAAAATATGTTAGTAACCAAACGATTACAATGAAATCACATTATTAGGTTAACAAATTGAGTTAAATTTTTAAATTTCAATAACATTACTCTTAAACTAACTTTTGAATTGAACTCAATTAGTAATACCATTGTTATTTAGAAAATTAACTTATTTATTGACCTGATGATATGACAATAACATGGTTTAATAGAGTTATTGTGATTACAACTTTTTAATTTTTTGATTGAGACTCCATGACGTATATATTATTATATTAATAAATTATATCAATTTTTTAAATCTGATTAACATTAGTTGAATTTTATAAATTATCTAAAAGTGGCTCATTTGAACTCCCATAAAAATATCATTGATGAATTTGAAAAGCAGGCCTTGTGGAAAAAAATATGAATGCTGACTTGGGAACGGGTTATTGCCGCCCAAGAATCAATCCAAAACCAAAGACTTCGCAAGTTCATGGAGTCTTCTACTACAAGTATTTAATGATATTTTTCATCATCAGTCACCAGACTCACCACCATCATACACCATATCTTTCGAAGCTCGTACCACCCATGTTCACCATAACTCTGCACATCTCCTTCTTTCTCTACGTCCTCTTCTCTAACACCACCGCCGTCACCGCTGTCATCGGCGACACTGCCAACGCGCCACCTTACATTCCAAGCGACTACTTTTTCCTCGACTATGGTTCATCTTCTAGTTTGAACGATGCCGACGGCCGGACCTGGAGCGGAGATGCCCGCTCCAAATTCTCGCCGTCAAACATTTCAAACACATCTTCCGAATCTACAGTATCCAAGCAAGACCCTTCTGTCAATCAAGTCCCCTACATGACTGCTCGTATCTTTCCCTCTCCATTTACCTACACCTTCCCAATCTCCGCCCATCCAAAATTCATTCGTCTCTATTTCTACCCAATTAATTACTCTAACCTGGACATAGCCAACTCTTTCTTCGCCGTCACCTCCGACGGCTAGACCCTCTTAAGCAACCTCAGTGCTGTGCGTGCTGGATCTTACACAATATAAATACGAGAACAGATCTCTCCCTTTGTGAACTCGAGTGAATCAATCGAGTGGTCAACTCTACTGCTTGGAACAGCCTGTGAGGTTCGGTGTTAATCTAGAACGATAATGGGAGACCTTCGTGGATCAACAGAACGATCCAGTAAGGCTGAGGAAGGTTCCTGAAACAAAACAAAAAAAAGTTAAAAGGGCGCTGGAGTGTTTTTCAGCGTATCCCCTCCGACGATTAAGTCAATTTTTGAGGGAGAGGAAAAAGAAAATACTGAGTATATGTTTGAGAAAATGTTTCACCTCTCCCTATTCTGTCTTTTGTGAGGAGTATTTATACCTCAAATACTCATGATTGCTGTCAGTAGGTGATCATTAGATACGGGCAACATGCGCACTGATTCCTATGAGGAATGTCTTTTCTTTTAACTGCTTGGGATCCTGAGCAATTAAGGCTGTGTCATCGGCCTGCCGACTGTTTAATGAGCTCCTCTCGGTAAGGATGTAATAAATATCCGGCCTTAGGGACATTTATTACCTTTCACTTCCGAGCCTTACCGCATTAAATGTTGTCTCATCAAGGGAATGATGTAATTAAATGCTTGTTTTCTCAAGTCGTGTATCAACAAGGTCATCCGATCTTTTTTGTCTCTGATATGACACAATATGTCACGCGTCTATTTCTCATTGGTTGTGTCATCTGCCATCTTATGCTTTCTAACACCAATTGTGTAAGACGAGGTCATGATGGCTAACCTAGCCTAACCTAGGCTAATGACCTATACATCAATAGCCTCTGTAGGAGTAGAGAACGTCATCCTGAACGGGTACATCTCGATACCAAGAGGAGAATGGTACATGTAGGGACCGACATACCCTATCCGACCCGAGGGATACGTGTCGGTATGTAACGTACTGAATGTCATTGATCCCTATCAACAATATCTCGGGAAATAGGAACTTGTGATCCGACGGATACGTGTCGCATTTATAGAAAAAAAATTTACTGATACTAAGAACACGTATCTTCATCTTAGAGTACTTGAAAATGTCTCAAGTGCCTTTCTCACCGTCTCTGCCATGAAACCCGCAGTTGCTTCCCTAAGAAAGGAATTCATCGTCAACGTTAGGAGCAACCAGATACCGGACATAACCTTTTTGCCGTCTCTGAACTCTTACGCCTTCGTTAATGGCATTGAAGTCGTTTCAATGCCGGAAAATCTCTACATTCGCGGCAGTGATTATCAAATCCCACTAGTCCCGAACCAAATATCATTCAATATTGATAACACCTCTGCTCTTGAGACTCTCTATCGATTAAATGTTGGCGGTAATGAGGTCTCAATAACCGATGATACCGGAATGTTTCGTTTATGGCTTTCGGACGATGCTTACACCTACGCAGCTTATGGGTTTACACCTCACAGGGAAGTCCCAATCCAGTATACAAAGGACACACCACCTTACACTGCACCGAAGATCGTTTACACAACCACAAGGACCATGGGCAACCAAAGTCTAACATACAATCTGACATGGAGATTTCCTGTTGATTCTGGGTTTTATTATCTTCTCAGACTCCATTTCTGCGAGATTCAATTGGAAGTGACCCTTGAGAACCAAAGGGTTTTTATAATATACATCAACAATCAAACGGCACAGAGAAGAGCAGATGTTATCCACTGGAGTGGTGGCACTGGAATCCCGGTGTTCAAAGAATACGTCATCATGGTCACCGACCCAGATGGTTGCCGGAACAAGCAAGACTTGTGGCTCGCTATGTACCCTAAGCTCGACTCTAGACCCGAGTACGGTGATGCTATATTGAATGGTTTAGAAATCTTCAAATTGAATAGAACAGACGATAGTCTGGCAGGGGCAAACCCTGAACTTGTACTCAGTCCACCGCCGGGACCATTCACCTTGTCACCGCAGAAGAAGAACAATAAAAAAGCACCTAGGTTGCCGGTCATTATCAGCAGCGTAGTCGGAGGAGGGTCTGTTCTAGTCTTGATCTTGGGTTTCTTGATTTTCCGACGACGGATGAGAGTGAAAGACTTGGGCTCAACACAGCCCAAGTCGTCGTGGGTCCCCTTATCTGACGGTTCAAAGTCCACAAAAACCAGCGGTTCATCACTATCGTGTGATCTATGTAGACGCTTTTCACTTGAGGAGATCACATCTGCTGCATGCAACTTGGCAGGAGGATTTGGTAATGTATATAAAGGCCACATCGACAACGGTGCAACCACCATTGCGATCAAACGATTGAACCCATCACCAAATCAAGGGGCCCGTGAGTTCCAAACAGAGATCGGTATGCTATCGAAGTTACGCTACCTCCATCTGGTGTCGTTGATCGGTTATTGTAAGGACAACCGTAAGATGATCTTAGTGTATGATTATATGGCCAATGGTACCCTCCGTGATCATCTTTACAAATAAAAGAAACAACCTCTTCCGTGAAAACAATGCCTTCAGATTTGCATTGGCGCAGCAAGGGGACTACATTATCTCCACACGAGTGCGAAACGCACAATCATTCACCGTGATGTATGCGAAGTCCACCAACATTTTAATTTTATTTGATGAGAAATGGGGGTTAAGATTTTTGATTTCGGGTTATTCAAACTGAGTCCCAAGGATGTGGGTCATAGCCACGTTAGTATATTGGTGAAGGATAGTTTCGGGTATGTTGATCTAGAATATTATACACGATAAAAAAATCCGACGTGTACTCATTTGGGATTGTTTTATTTGAGGTTTTATGTGCTAGACCAGCTATAGTTCCAAATTTTTCGAAGGAGCAAGTGAGTTTGGCTGAGTGGGCCAAAATTCTTATAGAAAAGGGACCCTTGATCGGATTGTTGATCCTAATCTAAAGGGTGAGATTGCGCCAGAGTGTTTGAGGATGTTTGGCGAAGTAGGTGATAGTTGCTTTCGTGATAATGGGATCGATCGTCCAGGAATGAATGATGTTGTGTGGGGCCTTGAGTTTGCTCTGCAACTTCAAGAGGCTGCTGAGAAGATAGCTCACGGAGATGGTGGGTTGCTCCCGGCGGCGTTGGCCAGTCCCTCTGTTCCTCTTCCACATGGAGAGGCAACGACCACCGATGATGATGAAGTATTTACAAGGTCAGTTGAAAACGTGTCAAGATCAACGGTCAGCAATGAGGGATTGTAGTCGGAGACTGTGTTCTCTGAAATCATGAATCTCGCTGGACGTTGAGAAGGTGAATGTTCTTTTGGTGGGTCCTCCGTGGGGTTCAGATTTTTGGCCTTCTCGTTGACTCACTTCTAAAAAGTGAAGTAGCTTATTATAGTCTTCTAGTGTAGTCTATTATCAGGATGTGACGAGACCCTACTTGAAAAGAATGTGGGTCCCGCAATTGGAATGGAGGATATCACTTTTTATGAAAAATATTTAGCCCATCGTAAATAGGACAAAAGAATAAATGCAGTTTTTAATTTTTGTCAATTAGCTAAATGTTGTGTTTAATAACTAACTGATGATGCCGGAAGAAAATATATTGTTCGGGCCATGCGGGTTAGGTTGGCTACCCTGGTCACTATTGGAATTTAAATAAATTTATTTGAGCAACTTAAAATTTAAATAAAAGTGAAACTCACACTTTAAAATTACTAGGACTGAGTTTAAACTCGTTCTCCTCCACAAGGAGATGAATATCGTATATTTATTTGTTTAAAATTATAAAATATTGAATGAAAAATTATATCTTAAAGTGACTTATTTGAACATGGATCGTAATTAAATTTTCAACTAAAATTTAAATTCCAAATGAATTTTTAAATTTTTTGTCTATTACTTTGAATTTGGCATTGACATTGGATGTGTTCATTCTAGAATTCTAAATGTGTCTTTTGTCCGTTTAGTTTAAAAGAATGTGTCTCTTCAATTCGAACTGTAATATCACATGCCTTCTCAGGCAATCTGAACAACCACTAAGAGTCTATAAATAAACTGTGTTTAAACTATTTTCAATCCATCATAATTATGAATTCAGTATTCAAAGTTTTTTTTTTATCTCTTTCTCTGTGCATATTGTTACATTAGTTTTTTTTTGTTCAGTTCAAGTATAAACACAAAATTGTGTTAGCTAGTATCTTGAAAATTAAAGTGACGTATCTTCAAGTACGAAATTTGTTTTATTTTGAGAGACAATTGCTTATCAACCTTGAATATTTTTTTTGCAATAGTAATCAAATCCCTTGGATTTATTAACCCCTGAGAGAACAACCAGTACGATAGAGTCTCGAGAATGTTAGTGAGACGTAATTTCTTGATCTATTTTATTGATTTAATTCACTATAATCATTGAGTTAACTGTAGATCTCATTAAATATTAGAACTTGGTGTTAATCTAACNAAATTACACATATACTTTCTAAAATTTGTAGGTGTATAATATTTAGATCCCTCAAATTTAAAATGTTATACTTATACCAAAAATATTTCAATTAAAGATAAAATATTAAATATTTTAAATTTTATAACCAAAATTCATGTTCTATTGTATTATTTACTGAAATAAAATTAAAAATAAAAAGTCAATTTTTAAAAAAAATCGTAATTAGTATATAATTATATTATCTATTGGAATAAAATTAAAAAATCAAACAAGAGGTCTAAGTCATTCATAATAGGACAAAAAAAATTATGTTATATTATGTCATTTATAAAAATAAAAATTTAATTTTTTCTTAAAAAATCGTATTTAGTGTACAATTATATTATCTACTAGAATAAAACTAAAAAATAAAATAGGAGTCAATCTGTAATGAAAGCAATATATTCTAACTTTAATTGGGGTAGTCTGATAATTTAATTTGGACGTTTAAATGACCAAATTAAATTTTAATAGATAGTATAATTATATAGTAATTATGATTTTTTATGAAAAAAATTGATTTTTATTTTTAATCTTATTTTAATAAGTGTCATAATAGAATAAAAATTTTGGTTATAAATTTAAAATATTTGATATTCTATCTTTGATTGAAGTTTTTTTAGTTTAATTATAACTTTTTAAAATTGAGGGGTCTAAATATTACATATCTACAAACTTCAGTGAGTGTTGTTGTAATTTACTAACAGATACACTAGACAACATGGATTTAAGTGTTATTCGCGTATAAACTTTGAAGGGTCTGTATATAATATCACTAATGTTATTAGGACATAATTTAGGAATATAATTAGTTGTCACCAATGAAATGATAGTAAAATATATTTAATGATAGATCTTATTGTAGCATTAATGAATTTATTATCATATTATTAGTGATAATTCATTATGTCTTTAAATTATGTTTATAAATTATATTTTAATAACATTACTCGTATAATATTTTAAATATTAAAAAATTTGAGTGATTAGGCAATAAATATAGTGAGCCCTAGTGTAATTCTCCCAAATATCATTGATGAATTGGAAAAGTAGGCCTTGGGGAGAGAAGTACGAAGCTGACTTGAGAACGCGTTATAGCCGCCCAGGAATCAATCCAAAACCAAAGACTTCCAAGTTCACGCCGTCTTCTACCCGTGCTACCTGTACTTTTCTTCTATACATAACCTCTACTTCTTCATCACCATTACCCTTCAGCTTCATCATCGATCACCAGACTCACCACCATCATACACCATATCTTTCAAAGCTCATACCTCCCATGTACACCATAACTCTACACATCTCCTTCTTTCTCTATCTCCTCTTCTCCATCACCACTGCCGCCGCTGCCATCAGCGACACCGCCAACGCGCCACCTTACAGTCCAAGCGACTACTTTCTCCTCAACTGTGGTTTATCTTCTAGTTCTAACGATGCCGACGGCCGAACCTGGGAGGGAGATGCCCGCTCCAAATTCTCGCCGTCAAACATTTCAATAACTTCTTTGGAATATAAAGCATCCGAGCAAAAAACTTCTGTCAATCAAGTCCCCTACATGACTGCTCGGATCTTTCGCTCTGAATTCACCTACACCTTCCCCATCACCGTCGGACCAAAATTCATTCGTCTCTATTTCTACCCAGTTAATTACTCTGACCTCGACATAGCCAACTCTTTCTTCTCTGTCACCTCCGGCGGCTACACCCTCTT